TTGTTGATCTTCATGGTTGCGAGCGTAAGATATACAAAACAAAAATTCGAACACAACAATTGTCACCCACAATATTGAAAGGGTGACAAAGAACCAACCCATATTTTCCAATCCAAAAGTAACGTTTTCTCCTAAAGAAAGATGTCATTAAATTCACTAACTCTTTTTTAAGTCTCATGCTGCGCAAAATAGATAATTGTTGAAACTGCGCAGGTTGTATTGGAGATTGAATTAAGATTATCCTTGCTTTAATTTATCAGGTAAATCAGTAATTCGTGTGAACACTTAACTCCGAACGAATGTAGTCTCGTATTTGGTTAGCTGTTATAATTTTTCAAACCCGTAACTGTAACAAAGGTGAGAAAATAAATACAGCTGTATGTTCTTACTGTTTTTTTTTTAATAGTGTATTTTTTCTTGTAGCTCGAATAAGAAAATAAGTATTATTTTCCAGTGCTCAAAAGTTTTTAAAATGCTAAAGTAATAAATAAAATATCAGATTTTTTGAAACAAAGAAAAGATGTGTTCTCAAACTAGTTTTGCCTTATTTATGATTTTAAAAAAAAAATCACACTTGAAGAAAGATTTGAAATTACTCGTATTTGACGTAAACTTCTTTCTAAGGCATTTATGAATTGAGGATTGCCTCGGATGGGGAAAAAGTTGTACCTTTGACCAAATCTCTCGCCTCCCAATGAAGTGACCCCGGTTTGAATCCCAGCGATGGCAGGTCGATATGAACTCCGAGCTCGGTTCCAACCGATCATAGTACTGATGTAAAATATCTTGAGTGGTAGGCGAACCCCTTTGAATCCCTTTGCCACCTAGCTCACAGTGGAAGGTTTTCGTGGTTTTCGTCCCTATGTAGCGCAAATGAAGGTTAGTTCCATGAAACGAAAGCTAGATTGTCTCAATGCTTGATCCAGGAGTTCTCTTGTCTTCTGAATTTGGTTCAAAATTGTAATACTACGGAGGTGAAAATTGATAGTCAAAAATTGATTCATAAATTAGAGTTATTTTACATTTGTTCCAATTTACTATTATCCGTCGTTATTCCGACAGTTATTCCTTTTCTACTAATAATCCCATTCTGTCAACGCACAGCGAGAAATTTCCCATTTAAAATTTATAAGCAAATGAAGTACTGGTGGCTATGTTTTGATGAACCAAACTTTTTCCAAAGTTGATGCTTTTACATCCAACTGTTCCTTAGTATTGTTTTCAGTTTACTACCTTGCGAGGTTTTGGAATTTCTACTATATGGTAGTAGGAAAGAAAACATCGTAAGAATGGCTCTCTTGGGCTATTTGAAAAAAGTTGAACTTAGACATTTTGCGATATTTTTAACTTCTCTTTGTTATGATGTTCGCATGCAATATAGTTGAAACGTGTTTTTTTATTGTTTAAACATGCGCTGACATAGAAAGCTGACAAAGCTCATAGCTTATTAAATGCTAAAAAGAAAACGCGTGCTAAAAATAAATACGCAGACAACCATAATTTTTTTTTTTTAAATTTAAAAAATCTTTAAACGTCGCTAGTAATTTTGAAAATATTTTTTTTCTCGATCATACAGCATTTTAATTTCAAACCGTTTAAATTTTATTAAAGCTTTCGTTTCCGATAATAATACTAATTATTATTTATCACCTTTTTAAACAGAAATTTTAATTCTTCAACTGTATATTATTATCCTTTAAATAAAAATAAAAAATAAATAAAATTATTTAAAATTTTTTGAAATTGAAAGGTAGGGTACCCTCAGAAGATAGGTGCACTAAACTAACATAAATTTTAAGTTTGCGTACTCACATTTAAGATATAGATCAGTTAAAACCTGGTTCCTAAAATTAAGAAAAGAAAATTTTAAACAGCAAAAAATGTTTCGTCAAGGCTTAAAGAAGTTAAGTAAAACGTATTGGTAATTAAAAAAAAAGCATTTTAATTACCTAGTAACGAAGGTATTAAAGATATGAAAGTACTGATTTACTGAAAGATTATTATTAGTAAAGATATGAAAGTACTGATTTTAACTTGCTAGTGTAAATACTCCTTGGTTATGCTATACTTGGTTCAACTGATTGTAAAGACTGATTTTAACTTGTTAATGCAAATACTCCTTGGTTATGGTATACTTGGTTAAGCTGAATGTAAAAACTGATTTTTAACTTGTTAATATAAATACTCCTTGGTTATGCTGTCTTCAAGTTCTTTAGCTTTATTAAGCTAAATTATATATTTTTTTTTTATTTTTTTTTTGCTTTGAAAAGTATTTACTATTTTAGATCCGTGTGTTCTTTTATAGAAATTAAAGTTCGTTCTAGCAACAAAAAAAAACTTAACATTTAAATTTATCGGCTTAAAATGCAACGTTTTAATTGCTAATTAATAAAATTGATGATTATTAACAGCAGATAAGCACACAGTTTGATTTTAACAAAGCTACGAATTATTTTACTATCCATCAAAAGTATCATTAAGTCAATTAGCATGGATTGTTTGTTAAAAATGGTAGCATATTTTTACTGAACATTTTAATAACAAATTTATCGCATTATTAACATTGATTCACTCTCACTTATGCAATACGAGTTTCTACTTACACATTATCTTGATTTTTTAATGCACAGTACGCAAGAAAAAATAAATAAACGGACCACCCCAAATAACTTTTGATCTAGCAATCGGATCTTCACTTTCTAGAACTCAATCTTAAGGATTTGAAGGTGGCCTCAAATATTAGTGCCGATGATATTTTAAGTTACAAAATCAGATACAAAAAAGTAATTTCTCTGAATAAAAAATACCTTTTTTCTTGCGGATTCGGATTTCTGTCCCCCGAAATATAAGTAGTAGCCGCTGTCCGGGAAATATGACCCTAATAGCTTGCTCAGGAGAGCGGTCCAAAGTTTGAACCTCTTAACGTTAATGTTGCTTTTTGCGTACCATAACACGAGAATTTTTTAAATGAGTCAAAAAATGTTTGCACATCATTATAAAATTCGCTTATCCAAAGATAATTTCATGCAAAATATAACTTTTACTAAATGTTTATTATTTTGTATTATTTTATTTTATAATTGTGGAAACAAATTTTACATAGTAAGGTACGCAGTTTTTTACATTATTTTAAAGAATACAGTTTTAAATAGCAAAATATAAAATTTGAACGAAATTGGTAGATTAGTTCCTGAGAAATCAAATTTTAAAAATGAGACTTTTTCAAAATTCGATTTCTGAGGAGCTATTCGACCGGCATTGCTTAAATTCTGTATTTTGCCTTTTAAAATTGCTCTCTTTAAACTTACGTGAAAAAAGTGTATACCTTACAATTCAAAATTTTTCGGCATTTATTAATTATAAAATAATTAAAAAATAATAAATATTTACAAAAAGCTATAGTTTGCTATCTTTGGTTAAATGAATTTTATAATTTTGTACAGAAATTTCGAATTCACTTAAAAAGTTCTCAAGCTATAGTGAAATGCAAACAAAATAAAGTTAATTTTCAAAGAGTCCAAACTTAAGACCGCTCTCCTAACCAAGCAATTGGGACCATATTTCCCGGACTGCGGCTACTCCCAATATTTTGGCGGACAGAAATTCGAATCAGTCGGAAAAACGGTATTTTTATTCAGAGAAAGTACGTTTTGTGTCCGATTTCGTAACTTAAAATATCGCCAGCACTAATTAATTAGCATATTTGAGGTAACCCCCTCAAGCCATTTAGATTGAGTCCTAGAATGTGAAGATCCGATCATTAGATCAAAAGTTATTCAGAGTGGTCAGTTTTTTTTTATTTTGCACACTGTACAATTTTAAATCTCAAAATATCTGAAATTCTACTTATTTAAAAAGGTGGACCAGTCGGTCGCGAGGGATATTAATACAAAATATTATTGAAAAATTTTCATTTATGCTTCATTTATTTCATTCATTTATTTCAAAATATTCTTACTCTCCTCATTGATGTTATGAAACATAAAATTCGCAAATGTTTTTCAAAATTATACACATGCATTGAATTTTTCAACTTTGGTTTACATTTGTAATACACACATGATTATCATTATTTAATTTCCTCTTTTTTTGTAAAATATAATAATCAGAACTGCGAGGCGCATCCAGAAAGTAAGTTTCCCTAATTTACAAAAAGAAAGAACTCATACTTTCAGGAATATATTTGTTGGCAACAAGTACAGCAATGTTTCAGCTATTTTTCAACATAGCAACCACCAAAATTGAGACACTCGTCGTATCGTGGGATCAACTTTTGTATCCCTCTGTCATAGAACTCTGCCGCCTGTGAATGGAACCAGCGTACGACAGACGTCTTCAGCTCTTCGTCGTTTCCAAAACGCTCACCGGAGGACAGGAATTTCTTGAGGTGCAAGAAAACTTGAAAATCGCTGGGAGCAATATCAGGCCTGTAGAGTGGATGATCAAACAACTCCCAGCCAAATTCCGTCGAAACAGCTGCTGTGCGTCGTGCCAAGCATTGTCATGGAGGAGCATTGTCATGGATTGTCGAGGACAAGCATTGTCATGGAGGAGCGCAACACCTGCAGTAAGCATTCCACGACTCTTGTTTTGAATGGCACGTCACAATTTCAGCAGTGTTTCACAGTAACGGTAGACGTCTGTCACACGCTGGTTCCATTCACAGGCGGCAGAGTTCTATGACAGAGGGATACAAAAGTTGATCCCACGATACGACAAGTGTCTCAATTCTGGTGGTGGCTATGTTGAAAAATAGCTGAAACATTGCTGTACTTGTTGAAAATAAATATATTCCTGAAAGTGTGAGTTCTTTTTTTAATAAATTAGGGAATCTTGCTTCCTGGATGCGCCTCGTAAATGAGCAAGTAGTAAATCTATGACTTATTCTGAAATAATGAAAATTGTTATGTGTGAGCATTGATAAAAGTACAAAAATGAAACTTACTGACTTTTGTGACAACATAGTCATTTCTCTAACTACAATAAATATTGCAAATTGATTTAAATAAAACATTTATTTTATCATTTTCAATTAATCTTACACAAAGATCTAACTGAATTTAAATAATTACAGCATACCAACAATACTATTGCGTAAAAGAAATAATCGAATTTGAATCATTGTAGCCTGCAAGCAATACTATTTCGTAGAAGAGAATATTATAATGAGGGGATGGTCATCAGAACCTAAAAACTGTAGAATAACTGACCAAAGCATACTTTAGCATAAGGAAATTGATGTTTAATTGTTTTCTTTTACTATTGGTTCTTTACTCTCACATTGTCTTTTATTTGCTTCTTCTGAAATAGGTTGATCAAAACAATATGTCATTGAACGCATTGATATATTTGAAAGTATTTCCTAATGCTGGGGGATTTCTTATACATTGGTAGTCAGCAACTCTAATTATTTCAAAGGCAGATATCAAAGTTTGCATTATAAGTTCCATGAACAGCTCAGGTCGGCTGAGATAGAAATGATCCATTTGCAAATCAGAGAAAATGGATTGCAGCTCATTCACTATGACCCTTAAATCAATTGTCTGGGGAGCAGTACCCTTCGCTTTCAAAAGTATTCTAATTATTGACGGTATGGTTGATTTACTATCTCGTAAAATAGCATTGAAGACATTTTCGATTTGAGAAAGTCCTAAACCTTGATAAGGACTATATCCCATATTCTCGTATCCAGGGGATATTTGCACAGGAAGATATTCCATCTGAGGCTCTATCTGATATCCCATATGCCTTTGGGGATACCGGAATCGAGTATATGATTCCTCATCGGGTGCAATTAATCGATCTCCAGACCGAAGTGGAGGTGGTGCAGCTGACCCTTCTTGTGTAGGTGGTACTAATCCAGTTGCTTTTACTCCAGTAGTAAGTGCGGGTTCAGGAACTTGTTCAACTGGCTGTGGTGCAGCAGGTTGGGGAAGCGGAGTTGGTTCTGCATCCTTAGCTGGTTTTGAATCTGATGATATCATTACCTGTTGAATTTGGTTTTTAGGTGCTTTATCACCCGGTTTGCTACCAGTTCTTTCTTGCATTATATTAATAGAAGTTTTCTTCGATGATGTTTTGTCTTTTGGAGGCGGTTCGTCAAGTTTCGGAGTTGGAATGGGTTCTACTTGAGCTGGCTCGGGTGCGATTGATGGAATAGCAGGTTGCGGAAGCGGAATTGGTTCTGAAGGTTGTTCTGACTTAGATTTTACTTCCTTGGAAGGTTTGGAACTTGATGACACCATTATTTGCTGAATTTGATTTTTCGGTGCTTTACCTCCCGGTTGGCTGCCAGTCCCTTCCTGCACTATATTAATAGATTTTTCTTCAGTTGTTTTTTTGCTTTCGGGAGACGACTCCAAGGGTTTTGGAGCTGGAAGCGGTTCTGGCTGAGGAGCAGGAAGAGGCTCTGGCTGTGGAACAGGAAGTGGTTCTGGCTGTGGAGCGGGAAGTGGCTCTGGCTGTGGAGCGGGAAGTGGCTCTAGTTCTGGAACTGGGACTGGCGTTGGCTCAGGAACTGGAGAATCTGGTGTGGAATCTGATGAAATGTCTATTTTTTGTTCCGAAGGTTTGGATTTAGAATCTTCAGTCTGCATAACCTGTTGAATTTGATTTTTAGGTGCTTTTTCACCAGGCTTATCATCAGATCCTTTCTGCATAATATTGATGGAAGTTTTCTTAGACGGTTTCTTTTCTTTTTTCTTAGGTTCTGGTGATAATTCTGGCACGGGCTCAGCTGGTTTAACAATTTGATCAGGCTCCTTCGGTTTCTCTGGTTTAGACTCTTCTTTAGAAGGTTTAGAGTCTTCAGACAACATGATCTGTTGAATTTGATTTTTTGGAGCACTGGAAGGTCCAGGTGAACTACTTCCTCCCTTCTGCATTATGTTAATTGATGTGTCTTTTGTAGAACTTTCTTTACTTGGTTGTGGAGTTGATACTGGCACCTCTGGCTCAATAGGTTCTGGTTGTAGCGAAGGCAATGGTTCTGGCTGTGGAGCAGGAAGTGGTTCTGGCTGTGGAGCAGGAAGTGGTTCTGGCTGTGGAGTAGGAATTGGCTCTAGTTCTGGAGCTGGGACTGGCGTTGACTCGGGAACTGGAGAATCTGGTGTGGAATCTGATGAAATGTCTATTTTTTGTTCCGAAGGTTTGGATTTAGAATCTTCAGTCTGCATAACCTGTTGAATTTGATTTTTAGGTGCTTTTTCACCAGGCTTATCATCAGTACCTTCCTGCATTATATTGATTGAAGTTTTCTTGGACGACTTCTTTTCTTTTTCCGTAGGTTCAGGTGATAATTCAGGTAAAGGCTCTGCTGGTTTAACCACTTGTTCAGGCTCCTTTGGTTTCTCTGGTTTAGACTCTTCTTTAGAAGGTTTAGAGTCTTCAGACAACATGATCTGTTGAATTTGATTTTTTGGAGCACTGGAAGGTCCAGGTGAACTACTTCCTCCCTTCTGCATTATGTTAATTGATGTATCTTTTGTAGAACTTTCCTTACTTGGTTGTGGAGTTGATACTGGCACCTCTGGCTCAATAGGTTCTGGAGTCGGTATAGGTTCAATTGGTTCTACAGCTGGAGCTTCTATGGGTTCTTCTACGTTAGGTGCAGATATAACTGGTAGAGGAGCAGGAGCAGGTGTTGGTTCAACTGGTGCTAGAGATGGAATTGGAGCAGGTGTAGGTCCAATTTGTTGAATATCTGGGATTGGTGCTGTTTGTGGCCCTTTACCCATGTGCAACGATATTATCTGTTGGCGCGGTTTTTCATAATCTATGTCAGATTCTGAATCTGAGTCACCAGGCAACATAACTTGTTGGATTTGTGTTCTGGAATTACGATGTTTGTGACCACCTCCTCTCTGTACAATGTTTATACCATGCCTTTTGTGGTGATGGTGGTGGTGGTGGTGATGATGGTGAGGTTTTGGTAATGGCTCAGGGACTGGTTCAGGAACTGGTGTAATATCTTGTTCAGGTAAAGGTGACTCTTTGATTAAATTATTAGTGGGTGTAGCCGTTTGATCATCAATACTTATTATTTGATTTTTAGACTGCCCTGGTTCCGAATCAGACATCATTATTTGCTGGATTTGGTTTGTGGGAGAACTAGAATCATCTCGGTCGCTTCCCCCACCATCTTGGACAATGTTAATGGAACCTTCTTCAGAAGAACTTGAGGAATCTTCTGGCGATGAAACTGGCTCAATAAGTGGTTGTACTGGAGTTGGAATTGGCTCAGGAATCGGAGAGGGTTCAAGTGGTTGTGGAACTGGGGATAAGGAACCTTGGTTCACAGGTGGTATTAATCCTCCACCCAGCGCACCAGTAGTGTAGGACACGGTTTCCGGCTGCACTGGCGTCAAAGGTTGAGGAATTTCTGGAGCTGGAATTGGTGTAGGTTCAACTGGTTGACTACCGGTATCTTTTTCATGAATTGAAATGCTTTGTTTCTTCTTTGGTGTGGATTCAATTGGCTGAGGAACAGAAGAGGTAGTTTTCGAACCTATTGAAATTGTTTGCTCATGCGTTGCTTCAGGCTCAGATCCTGAACCAGAATCTAACATAACTTGTTGAATTTGATTTGAAGGACCACTTGAAGTATCAGGTGAGCTACCTCCTCCTTCTTGCATAATGTTAATTGAAGTTTGTTTCGTGGAACTTTCACTGCTCGGTTCAGGTTCTGGTGTTGGTAAGGGCGTTACCGGTTCTAGAGCTGGTGTTGGTTCAACAGGAAGAGGAGATGGAGTCGGTGCGGGCTCTATCGGTTTAGGTACTGGTTCAACTGGTTTTTCCGCTGGTAGAGGAGCTGGAATTGGTGCAGGTTCAACTGGTTTGCTACCAGAAGATTTGGTGCCTTTTTCATGAATTGAAATGCTTTGTTTCTTCTTTGGATTCTTTGGTGTAGATTGGACGGGCTTAGGAACAGAACTAGTACTTTTTGAACCTATCGAAATTGTTTGTTCGTGCGTTGCTTCAGGTTCAGATCCTGAACCAGAATCCAACATAACTTGTTGAATTTGATTCGAAGGACCACTTGAAGTATCTGGTGAGCTACCTCCTCCTTCCTGCATTATGTTGATTGAAGTTTGTTTCGTGGAACTTTCATTGCTCGGTTCAGGTTCTGGTGTTGGTAAGGGCGTTACGGGTTCTAGAGCCGGTGATGGTTCAGCAGGAAGAGGAGATGGAGTCGGTGCGGGCTCTACTGGCTTAGGTGCTGGTTCAACTGGTTTTTCCGCTGGTAGAGGAGATGGAATTGGTGCAGGTTCAACTGGTTTGCTACCAGAAGATTTGGTGCCTTTTTCATGAATTGAAATGCTTTGTTTCTTCTTTGGATTCTTTGGTGTAGATTGGACGGGCTTAGGAACAGAACTAGTACTTTTTGAACCTATCGAAATTGTTTGTTCGTGCGTTGCTTCAGGTTCAGATCCTGAACCAGAATCTAACATAATTTGTTGGATTTGATTCGAAGGACCACTTGAAGTATCTGGTGAGCTACCTCCTCCCTCCTGCATTATGTTGATTGAAGTTTGTTTCGTTGAACTTTCACTGCTCCGTTCAGGTTCTGGTGTTGGTAAGGGCTTTACTGGCTCTAACGCCGGTGTTGGTTCAACAGGAAGAGGAGATGGAGTCGGTGCGGGCTCTACTGGTTTAGGTGCTGGTTCAACTGGTTTTTCTACGGGCAGAGGAGCTGGAATTGGAGTAGGTTCAGCTGGTTGACTACCAGATGGTTTGGTGTCTTTTCCATGAATTGAAATGCTTTGTTTGTTCTTTGGTGTAGATTCGACGGGCTTAGGAACAGAACTAGTACTTTTTGAACCTATCGAAATTGTTTGTTCGTGCCCTGCTTCAGGTTCAGATCCTGAACCAGAATCTAACATAATTTGTTGAATTTGATTTGAAGGACCACTTGAAGTGCCAGGTGAGCTACCACCTCCCTCCTGTATGATGTTAATCGAAGTTTCTTTCGAAGAACTTTCAGAGCTTGATTCAGAGATAGAGGGCTCTGGTGTTGGTAAGGGCTTCGCTGGTTGAGGCACCGGTAGTGGAGCTGGTGCAGGCTCTACTGGTTCAGGGACGGGCTCAACTGGTTTTGCTGCAGGTACAACTGGCTCAGGAGCTGAAGAATCAGAGCTGTCTGAATCTATTGAAATTGTCTGTTGGCCCGGACCCGTTTCAGTTCGTTGCATTAAAACTTGCTGAATCTGATGAGCACTGATATCAGATCCAAACAAATTCTTTATATCCTCAGGAGAAATATGTATGGTTTGTAGGTTAGGTGGCTGTAATGTTATTGTTCCAGGTTCTGTGAATTCAGGAAGAATTACTTTACTTATTCGACCTAAGTTGTCTCTTATAACCTTTGGTGTACTTCCAGATGCACCGAGAAATATATCTACAAGTTCGCCATCAGGTCCTTTAACTTGGAAATATTGATTTGCTGGATTCTTTTTCGGAAGTATAATGGTTTGTATTGTTTTATCAGATGAAGTTACAATGCCTGGCGTTATACCCTTAGATCTTTTCTGTCTCATGATTCTTATTATTTGTTCTCTTGGTCCCATAATTGTTACTTCCTTTGGTCCTCCTTTTCCAATACCGAATAATCCAGGAAGCATAACCTGTTGAATCTGGTAATCGGGACCACTGCCGTGTTTTTTACCCCCACCCTCCTGCAAAACTGCAACTAGCTCGTTCACTTGACCAATGACAGTTTGCGGGTGAACGTACTCCGCTCCTTCTGGTAGAATAATCTTCAATATCCTGTTATCAGCCCCAAAAACAATACCAGGAGTTGTACCACGCTGGGCATATTCAATATTTGGTTTATATTCCCCTAAATCTTGTCCATTATATGTGTTTCCTCTCATTTTATATACTGTCATTCTATGAGGAAGATGCGGGGACAAAGGCGGTCTTGGTGCATGCTTAGGTTTTTTCACAGGCTGTACTGGTTGAGGTGGTTCAACAGGCTGTACTGGTTGAGCTGGATGCACTGGTTGAACGGGCTGCACTGGTTGAGGTGGTTCAACAGGCTTTACTGGTTGAGGGGGTTCAACAGGCTTTACTGGTTGAGGTGGTTTTACAGGCTGTGCTGGTTTAGCTGGTTGTACAAGCTTTGGTTCCGTTGGTTTTACAGGCTTTACCGGTTGAACCCGTTTCGCTGGTTGCGGAGGTTGAGCCAAACCGGTTTTTACTGGTGCTGGGTTCATACCTGCTGCTTTAACTCCTTTAGTCAATTGAGGAGGAGGAGGAGGTTGAACTTGCGGAACATTAAAAGTTTCTTGCCCATATTGCGTGTACCTAAATATAATTCTTCAGTTATTATATTTATTTAATTGTAACTTAACGTTAATTGAAAAAATGAAAAAGAATACACAGATATTACTTTATAAACAAAATAGACATACTTTAAAGAAATGTTATTCTTCCGTATTTTCATAGCAATGCTAATCATTAACCATCTTACTTGTTTATTGTGTTTACCTCAAACCTAAGTTATTTCTTTACCCGACAAGTACGACTTTTTTCAATAACAACAACTACTTTGTTATACAAAACAATTCGACAAAAATTTCAAATTTACAAGTCAGTTTTGCTTATTTTAATACTCCGAGAAATTAATAAACAATAAATTAACCTCATGGAGTATTAAAAAAAATTACTAAGAAAATAAGAATAAGAAATAGAATAATTAAGAAATAAAGTTATATAAAAATATATAAACAAACAATAAGATTTAAAATCAAGTGGTATCCAAAGAACATACGGTAACAAAAGGATACCAAGAAATATTATGTTAGAATTACGCACCGTTTAAACAGCAATAAATAATATTTTTTCATTAGCTCAAACTTTTATTTACTACATGGATTACTTATGATATAAATTGACCAATGTAATTTATTAAAAATATTTTTTTTATTAATTGTTAATGACCATTCATTGTTACAACTTCAGTTTCGTGTTTTGTATATCAATACAATAAATAAACGAATATTACTACTTGTTCTTCCTTATTCTGCAGAATAAATATTTTTATGAGTACGTTTGTTAATAGTTTTAGAAAGCGTCATTTCTTTTCCTTGAAAATTACATTTTATTCTTTAAATTAACTTTCCAAATTTTTTATTGTTCCACATTTTTTAATTTTTTTTTATTTCAAATATTTATTTTTATGTAATTTTTTAATTTTTATGGCAACGGTGTTCTTCTGGTACGATTTTTGTTACATATATCTATCTTCTGTAAACCTTTTTAAACGTAACTATTCAGTGACAGTGAGAGCTTGAAACATGTCGGCTGTTATTTCCTGTTTCTATATTTTTGAAACGAGTTAATGTTGTTACCCTATTTTTATTTTTGCTTTCATGGTTAAAACTTGATAACCAAAGATAAGGTACTGTTTTTTCCCATATCAGTAATAAAACAAACTGACAAAAAAAAAAAAGCTTTAATGTAGCAAACGTTGAATTTCTTATTTAAATTAAGTATCTAATTTCTGAAACGCGCATTTTTAGATGTGTCCATTTTCTTGAGCAAACATTTTGAGCTATGTCCAAAATATAAAACTGATTGCTAATATTCAAGTCCACCCTGCCACCAAACAGGTTTTGATATTCTGTGTTCCCGCCTTCCTTAATTGTTGACTTCGTTTTGCTCTGCTTAAATATTAATTTGTGATTGATTATGTTAAAACTTTTTTGCCTCCATTTTTTTTATAAAGATCATATATATTGGTTATAGCTTATTAAATAGTCCCGTACAATAATTAACTAGAAAAGAAAATTCAAATTGTTAATAATAAGCTCATTTCGCTTTCACGTAGTATCGTGGTACCTTCGTGTATCGTAGTATCGTGGTACGCTAAATATTATTTTCTGTAATTTAATATGCGCATTTTATTTTAATATTTATCTTCCATACATTTACTCACAAATACCAGAATTTAAAAATTTAAAACATATTAACCTTTGAATAAATTTAATAAATAATAAATTTTCAATTTTCTTTATGTTACTTTTTTTAAAAAGTTTCTACGTGCATCTATGGACAAAATTATATGACTTATTTATGTCCCTAAGAAAATTATTTTGTATCTTGCTTCTATAGATAAAAGTTACCAATGCAATCTACTTTTTTCCATCATCATATTCTTAAAATAATTTAAACAACATTTTCATTAAATTGATTTGAAGCTTACGACATAAATTGAATAGATTAGATTAGATAAGATTTAGTTTTTTAATTTTAAAAATGCTGAATTAACTTATTTCTGGAACAGAAACTAGTGTTTAATTTTTCATTAAACTAAACAAAGTTTTGCCACTCCTTGGCTTTATTAATGTGGTGCTGCCATCTATTAACTATGTTTCAAACTTTTTCTGCAATGTTGTTAGGTTAGTAGCATTGATTTAAAGTAAATAAATAATAAAAACCAAAGAGAAAAAAAAAGGATCGCTTTTAATTTTTCCAGCTATTCTATTGTTATTTGTTCAGATAAAAAGGAAATGCATCAAAGCGAAAAAAATAATTTTCTCTATTATTTTTCTTTCATTATAGGAAAAAAATGAAGTAGGTAATTTAATTATATTAATTTTTAATGCAGCAATTACGTTACATTGCATTGATGATGTAATTATTAAATTAATATTATAGTTATTACTATTTTATAAACATTAATATGACAGTGGGTTAATTATATTTACAAGAAATTAACAATTAGGTTATTATAATGTTATTAAATTACTAACTAATTTAATTGATTAATCTAATTAATTGATTAATTGATTAATCTAATTAAATGATTAATTGATTAATCTAATTAATTGATTAATCTAATTGATATTATTAAATTACTTAGCAATTAACTCTTAATTTAATTCATTTATTTTTTTTAATTTAAGAGTTGTAATTGACTAGATATTTCATAAAACCCTTGAAATTGGAAACTCTTAACATCTTAAAAAATCCTTGATTTGCCCTCTCAATATTTCTTACTAGTTAAAAACTTTATCGCTCAAAACTACCGGATCTCAGAACAATATTCAGGCAGCTCTATTTAAAAAAATCATAACTGAGTACCTTGCAACCAATCACATGGTCATATTTAATCACGTGTTTGTGCATAGAGTGTTAATATTACAGAATTAAACCTGAGGTTAAGTATCACGATGAACCAATTTTCGGATCATATTTAATTGGATACTTGCAAACAACGTTGCTCTAATGTGTCGAACTCGATTAACTGATTCACACGTGACGTCACTTGCAAGTTTCCAATTAACATTCATAAATATCACCAAAACAATAATGTAATCGATTTCATTTCGCCTTACTTTTGACCAGAGGTGCAGCCAAGACTTTTTCTTTAAAGAGACTGAATTTTTAAAAGAATAATTGGAAAAATTCTTTTGCATTGCTTGCTACTGTTGCTAAAGTATTTACACTTACGCAGAAATAAATGAAAAAAAATAGAAATATGTAATATAATAAAATAAAACCGTATGTTTTTAATGTGTATTTACTTGGAAAATGCACAAATCGAATTAATTAATTTCTTTCCATTCAACCATCAATTATTTAAGCCACTAAATTTTATTATTTTTCGCAAAAAAAAAAAAAAAGGTTTATTATTTTTGTGTAAGTCAGGCGTTATTCAAAGGTTTATAGGTTTATTATTTTTTGATATACAAAATCTTTAGAGGGTTTCTTTTCCAATATCGTTAACTTTTAGAATCGAAATATCTCAGTTACGAAAACATTTTTATATGATTGAGAATAAAGAAAAATGGCTCTATCTGTAATCAAAAGGTTACTATTCATTATTGAAGCATTAACAAAAACATTATTATGCATTACTGTTGCTAGTTTTGGAACCTGTTTTTCCTCGAAAAAAAAAGCTACATTCTTTATTACATGACCAATAGAATTAATTTGTTATTCTCAAAAGTAACTAATTTTATAAATCCGTTTGGATAATTAGAACGATACAGTTCTATAGTACATCCCTTTTTAAAGCACTTCTATGAATTGTACTTTTGAATTTACCCGGTTGTATTTGCCTTAATACTTTAAAAAATAATACGGGTTTACTAATTCATGGCAGACAAGATTTTCCACAATTGTATAAATATAATTTTTGAACTAATTGTTAGTGACACTAAGATTTTTTTCCGTAACTAATTATCATTTTTGTGAACCATATTTTTTTTACAAATTATGTTATCTTTATTTTTGTGAAAGAAATCGCAGTGATATCGTAAATCATTTTCTTAGTCTTGATGCATATTTTACAGTTGAATTTGCACTTAGTACAAAACTTTCAAACTTGTTTATTTATTTTTCTTGGCTGCCTTTTCTTTTGACATTATTTGATTTATGAGAACATGATTTAGAATTTCAGCTTACACGAACAAAGAAGCGGTTTCATATAACTTTCATGAAACTAGTTCGTAATAACACCCTGTTATCGTTTTGATTTTAAATTTCATTTTTCTTGTACTTTCAACGGAGTAAATTATATGCTTTACTAATTACTTCTATTCATGGTTTGACATGATTATTTACTCTTATTCATGGTTTGGCATCATTATTTACTCATATTCATTATTTGACGTTATCATTTACTTCTGTTCATTATTTGACACTGAAAATGATTCAATTGATAAAGCCATCTAGTTTTACTGTAATCAAAATTTTTTTCGCTGAACTAATAGTTAGAAAATAATTTTAAGCTTATTTATTTTTTAACTTCTCTAAAAATAAGCGTTTGGTAATTTGATATAAACTACAATATTTCAAATAAAAAATCGTATTTTTCAATTTTTGTTGCTTCTCTCTAAAGTCGTAAATATCTGATAAAATTATTAGATTTTTTTAAACGTAGAAATTATTTGTTTTCTACGCACTCACAAGATAGCAAATTCTAAATAATAAAAAACATCATTGTATAATTTTTTTTTAAGAAAATATAAAAAATTTTGTTTTTCTTTACGTAAGTCTCTTTATTAATACATTTTTTTTATATAGTTACAATACACGGAATAACAGAATATAATAAAAAATTCAATCAAAAGGTGTATTTGTTTTTTGTTTTTTCATAGTGTATTTCTTATAAATCCGACATTTAATCAGTATTTTCACATAAAATTCTTCATGTCTACTCTCATTTGAAGAAAAACAATAAAACATTTTATTATTTTATAACATTTCAAAAACATACATTGCACCGCATGATAAATTACGTCATACTCTTGCAATAAAATAAATAGAATCTCTGTAATTCTATAAATGTGTTTGTAGAGATGCCTTT